TTCATAGTTTTAACATATGATTTTTCACCATTCTATTTTCTTCTCAAACAATTTTCAATTTATCATTGTAAAATGAAATGATAAATACATATATATGTATATGTTTAAAATTGATATCTAATACTTTTTTATTACTAATATACAATATTTCATAGAATATGCTGAATCTATATAACCAGATATTTTTGTGACCAACTGTATAATTACAAATAAATAATTCTAATATCAACCTAAGTGGATTTCTAATTTTAAACAAGATTAATAATTATAATATTTCATTTGAATATAAATTTACCTTTATAAAATGTAGAAGTTTAATCAAAACCATCCATTTGAAATAATTTTATCCATTAGAATCAAAAACTGGCATAACCTTTCCACCAACACAATAATATCTCTTATATTTCTTTCTCGTTTTCTATTATTTAAGCAGTGTTTATGAAACGTTATCATAATGGAACGTTTCGGGCAATAGAGATCGAGAATTGAAAATCTCTCGAGAGAACTACATACACTTTATCCCTCGCATAAGAGAAAAATTGTCCACGCGCGCCTGTTTCGCACGAACAATAACACTACATGTTCCCAGTGCTGTTACATCGACGACTTAAGCACGTAAGGAAGGTAAAAAATTGAACTAAAACGATTATATACGAATTTGTAAAGATTTTTGGCGCACATATTACATATCACATTTATACGATACACGCAAATCTTTCATCTATGCGCGACCATTTAACGCTTCGTATCCGAATTACCGTTGTGTGATACAATTACGCGTTAGCATCACCGTTATTCTTTATTATAATTAATATTACAAAAGCTTGATTATTTGGATCGGACTGTAGCGATATATTCACATGACTATCGTCGTGGAAAATAAAAAGTTCAACGTTTACATTACAATTATTCCACTGTCTTCTCGATCGTCGATAACTTGATTCGCAATAAACAATAATAAATACATTAATTTTTATAATAATAACAATAATAATAATAATAAAAATAAAAATAATAATAGAGCAATAATAAAAATAATAATGAACAAATAATAGTAGTACTAGTAATAGTAGTAGTAGTAGTAGTAATAATAGTAATAGTAATAGTAGTAATAGTAGTGGTAGTAGTAGTAGTAGTAGTAGTAGTAGTAGTAGTAGTAATAGTAATAGTAGTAGTAGTAATAGCAATAGTAGCAATAGTAGTAGCAGTATTATTAATAATCACCAGTATAATCATAGTCGTTATCCTATTTCTGGCATCGTCATCGTCGTTATCGTTATCGTCACCTGTCATGGTCCTAATCATTGTCAAAATGGTCTTTGTCAAAAATAAAAATATTTCAGTCCTGTATTTCGACTATGGTACATATATTGCCACAAAATGTGTCACTTTGGAACGCGCATTCCGCTTATTCGAGCTTAATCCTAAAATTAGTACATTCTTTGTGTAACAGACAACGCTCATGGTTCCTTCTCTAAAGCATAACCGGAATGTGTAATGTCGCTGGGTGTGAAGCCTTTTTAGTCGAAAAACAGACCCAGCGGCCGCTTCCTATCAGCACATTTGCGATACGACGTCAACGTCATTGTCACGCTATTTTTTCAATGATTAATTAAAAACGAAAGAACGCCGAACACGAACAATATAGAACATCATTCGTGGTTATTCTTCTTGCACGCGCAATTATCATCGAAACTTTATCTTTGCCAATTATTGCCGTTTTTTCATCGACAGTAAAATTATGAAATAATGCTTCTCGTGTATACAATACAATACAATACAATACAATACAATACAATACAATACATTACATTACAATACAATACAATACAATACAATACAATACAATACAATTCAATACAGTACAGTACAGTACAGTACAGTACAATATAGTACAGTACAGTATAGTATAGTATAGTACAGTACAGTACAATACAGTACAGTATAGTACAGTACAATACAATACAATACAATACAATATAGTACAGTACAATTCAATTCAATTCAATTCAATTCAATTCAATTCAATTCAATTCAATTCAATTCAATACAATACAATACAATACAATACAATACAATACAATACAATACAATACAGTGCAATACAATACAGTGCAATGCAATGCAATGCAATGCAATACAATACAATACAATAAAATACAGTAAAATACAGTAAAATACAATAAAATACAATAAAATACAATAAAATACAATACAATACAATACAATACAATATAATATAATATAATATAATATAATATAATATAATATAATTATAATATAATATAATATAATATAATATAATATAATATAATATAATATAATATAATATAATATAATTAATATAATATAATATAATATAATATAATATAATATAATATAATATAATATAATATAATATAATATAATATATAATATAATATATAATATAATATAATATATAGAAAGATTTATATATTATATATCATATATGCATATTCTAGTTGTTATCGCGTCGGCATTAATCGTCATGTAATGGCACAACGATATTGCACGATTGCACAAGGAAAACGAGTTTTTACCTAAGGAACTAACTAGCTAAATACAATCGACAAGTATAACCGCGAATAACGTCGTCGTGATATTCGAAGATCAATCGCCGCGACATTGCACTTTCAGTTTTCTAAGAATTCGACCGTGGCATCATGTTCGATAATCATTTCTCTTACGACGATACTTATCTCTTAAATATATCGGTGGATATCCTCCGCTTTCTTTTCGCATCCCTTCTCGGATTTTCCATCTTATAAAGTATTAGCGTTATAAAATATCGGGTGGCGTACGAGCGCGCGAAAACGATAAGAGAAAAGCACGCATTTCGAATCGCATTATAAAAATACACAATGTTCTCGTTCAACGATTAAACGCGTAAATCACGGAAAATTGAAATTCGGACTTGGAAAAGGGAATGCTCGAGCTCTTGTATTTAGCGACACCCTGTACTATTTGGACGCTTTCGGAATTACATAGAAAGTTGCGTTCGTTACGATCGACGATATCTTACTTACCGACAATTCCCCAATCTTTAATCGATCCTATCGTTTTTCGAACATGTACTTACTTCAAGCAGTACAGCAATACATTTTTCACGTGTTCTATTCGCATTTATGTCGCGCGTCGTGTATCGTCATCAATCATCTCGCCATAATACGCGACAACAAAGAAGTTGTTCTCGAGGAAAGCTGATGCGTCCCGATCATTTTCGTCTTTTGTCGCATGTTCGTATTGAAACAAACGCAACGAATCGATGAATCGATCGTATACGCACGGAGAAAAGAGTGACTCGTTCAACATGGTGGCAGTAATAAAGAGACGACACGATCGCGAACCGAGACAAGTTTTTTCGGCAGTTTATTGGCAATTGCTTGTTTCAACCGGTTTTCTATGTTCATTCAACCTTTATGTCAATATCAATAGGTATCTATATATTTTTTTACTTATGATAGAATATCAAATATTCTTTCTTGAAAGATTTTTAAATTGAGCTAGATCATCGTTGCTCGATACATTGCTATTTATATTTAAAATTAAAATTTGATTATTAAAAAATTAATAATTGAAATTAGAAGATGTCAAAAATTGTTGACATTGACATAAGGATTAATAGAGTGATCAGTGATTAAGATCGAGTGATATTGATCGAACGAAAGGGAACAGAGAAAAATAAGCACAGTAGAGAAAGTGTAGAATGAAGAAAGCAAACGAAAAGAAGGCGAAGGCATGAAAAATCGGCGTTCGGTTCGGCTCGCGATATAATCGAGGTGAGACGCGAACGAAGACAGTAAATTATTTATGGTCAGTTTAAAAAAACAAACTGCTCCAGGCTTTGGAATCGATTGACAAACGTGTTGTTGCAAGTTTCTTTATTATAACTCACGGTCACGGAGAATATTCGTTGGGAACAAATGTCTGAAACGTAGAGCGAGAAGACCGAGCGGAAACAGAATGACGAACATATTGCGCGTTGCCATTTGTCGAATAAACGCGTTCAGATTGGCAGACCTCCGAATCGCGTCGATGCTTTGGTTGCAGATATTGATTTTTATCTTGAATTCGTTTTCGCAAACGCGCGCTCGTTATGCCTCTCAAGTAACAGCTTTCTCTCTCTCTCTCCTCCCNCCTCTCTCTCTCTCTCTCTCTCTCTCTCTCTCTCTCTCTCTCTCTCTCTCTCTCTCTCTCTCTTCTTCTTCTTCTTCTTCTTCTTCTTCTTCTTCTTCTTCTTCTTCTTCTTCTTCTTCTTCTTCTTCTTCTTCTTC